GCTTACCATATACCAAACAATATGCCTTATCAAAAAAATAACGCTTGTTCTTTAGGTTTAACTAAAAACAAAGTCAGTTCGTGAAACTTACTGTAATCGTGGGTTTTGTAACTAAACTGCTTCCATATATCAAACTGGTTAAAGACGGGGATTTCGGTAATTTGGTTGAAGGTGTGGGTATAAGCTTTTCTTACATCTATTTCGGTTGCTGTTTCGGACATAAATCCGTGTTTTTTTAATATTTCTCGGTTCTTCGGTTAAACACCTTGTAGAATTTATTTAGTTCTCCCACTCGCGGGATTGTTCGGCATTCCCTAAGAATTTGCCTGTCGGTTTCGTTGTAATAGGATTTATGTAAGGGATTAGATAATGCCTTGTTGAATTCATACATCGCCTTAGACATGTTGTTATAAATCTGTTCCGTTCTTACTGTTATAGTTCCATCAACGGAACTCGTCACCAGATTTTGGGTTTTAATCCTGTATTGTATGCTCTTCTTTTTAATGTAGAATTTAAAATATAAATCGGATATAATACAACCTGTAAATCTTACCTGTGGCTCATATCCCGCCATCTTGCTTTCATAAAACAACTGGGTTAAATCATTACCATCGTAAATTGGCGTGTAATTGTCTTTTTTCTCTGAATTTCTTCAGGTCGTTTAAGGACTGTATCATTTTGCATTCAGTGGGTTCGTCATTTTCGTTTATGTGGTAATCTGGGGAAGCCTTAACTGATACATCTTGATTTTCACGGATGACCACCATCTGCCGTAACATCTGCAAATTGTCATTTGCTGTGTAGATATGATTATTTTTAACTAGTGCATATAATGTTGTTTTTTGATGGTTGTATTTGGTCGGCGAGTATTTGAAAACCGGCTTTATGAAGGAGTTGAATATCCTTACTTGAATGCCGTAGTGTTCAAACACTGGCACCATATCTTGTATTGACGCCCCATTCGTTTTAAACTCATCTTCGGTTTTATTCATCAGTTTTAACATACTGTCCTTTGTTAATCTGTTCTTTTCCCTTCTCTTCTCACCCATCAATGTATCCTTATACCAATCGGTTATGGTGTTGAACCAACACTCGTTCTCTTTGTAATGCTTTGCATTTATGGCTTCCTTAAAGGTTTCAAACTCGGGGTCTAAAGGCGTTTGAATGTAGATGTTAAACATACTTAAATTTGCTGTATTTGTTAGTTTTTTTATTTTTAGGGTCAAAATTGACATCACCATCAATCCGTTCTACACTGAGCAATTTAATACAATCAATGTAGTCCTTGTGTTGTTCTAACTCGTCCCTCGCTTCTGGGTCGGTTTGTAAGGTATGCAACAACTTATAAAACAATATCATAGTGTCCTTCTCTGTGCGAAATACCCTTTCTCTAACTATGTCTTCTATGTAATTAGTAGATTTTACGTTTAAGGTTTTCGGGTCTTTCCAATAAATAACACATGGTCTGCCTTTGCTGTCTTTAAACGCTGTCTTGAGTTCCTTGTAATTTTTTTCGTCTTTTTGCTCTAGTGCCTTGTGTGAGACGATTTTTGTAATTGTCGTAGGTTGTTTGTAATGCTCGGGTGTTGCGCTTGATGTTCTTGGTCATACAACTATATAATTACTATACAAAATATTTTTGTTTTTAAATGAGTTTTTCTTAAGATTTTTAAATATTTTTAAATATTTTTATATACTATTTTTTGAAGAAAAATATTTAAAGATTTGAAAATAATATCTAGTATAGTAATATTCTGACACAAAGTTTATCGAGCGAACGCGAGATGTCCTATAAAAATCCCGCAGATATGACTTTGGATGAGGTAAGGGAACAATTGGCGATATACAACCGTTTGTATTATAATCTACGGAAGGACGACGAAGCATACATGCAAAAAAAACGTGGTGCTGGATTGAGACACGCGCAGAAGAAGCGAATTAAGGAATATGTTCCAACTGAGAGTATTAACCAGGAAGATTCAACAGAGAAACAAATTACCGAAATTATGAACGATAAAAAACCATCAGGAAGAAAACGTGGTGGAACAATCAAATATGATATGGTGACTTGTAAAATCGCTATGCCTATGACTGATGACAATACTAAATGATGATTTAAATATTTTATCAAATCATTATTTTCGTTACTCGTTTATATGAGTGAAAAGCAAAAAACCATTAATGATGTATATTTTGATAAGGCCGGTTTCGGGAGTAAATCCAGAACACTAGCGGAAGCACGGGAGAAAGACAAAACTATAACAATGGGCGATATTAACGAGTTTGTTTAGAACAAAAATGTTGAGCAAAAAAGAAAGCCCGTAGGTCAAAACAGTTTTAGCGCCCCTCTCTCCGCTTATGAATATCAGATGGGTTTGTTTTTTTTTATAAACGATTTGAAAGAACAAAAGTTTAGGGTAGGTGTGCTAGTGATTGATGTTTTTGATAAGTTTATGCATGTAGTGCCGATAAATAGCAAACAAGAAGGAGATGTAGCGAGTGGGATGATTGAGTGTTTAAATAAGATGGGTAAGAAACCCGATATAATTCATACGGATGATGAAGGCGCATTGAACAAGGAGGCAATACAAAAGTATTTGAAGGATGAGAACATTGAACATCATAGAACGAGGGCGCACCCAACTTTTCTGAAAGAGCCATCCGCACTTTTAAAGATATGTTGTATAAGACAGTTGAAGCGGACGAAAAAAGGGAAAGGATAACATCCAATGGCCAGATTGCATATTAGAAATACTACTAACCTATAATAATCAAATGAAGCACTCGGTAACGGGATTTACGGCACAAGAAGCCCGCAAAACCAGTAATCAACTCAAAGTGAAATTAAATTTAACGATGAAGGGCAAAAAGAACCGCGTATATCCCGAACTGGATGTAGGGGATGAGGTTAAGACAAGATATTTAGGAAGCGAAAACCAAATGAAAAAGAAAGAGTGAGCAACTGGTCACAGAATATTTATCCCATAGAAAATATTGAAAATAAGTTAGGTCAAAATTATTACAGAGTTGAGGGCAATAATAGGCAGTATCTGAGATTTGAACTACTGAAGGTTTGAGCTTAAGCCGTCTCTTTTTCGACTCAAGGGCTCTTCTCATAAAAGTTGTCTTCAAAGCAGACAAGCTGACTGTCTGTTTCTTTCTGCGCGCCACAAGTATGACACACTAAACTGTTGCCAAATCTGCTGGGACGTCACACTGCCCATAATCATTGCTTCCAAAGCAGACGAGCTGACCATCTGTTCGCACTGCACAAGTATGAAGAGTGCCCGCTGCGACTTCCGAAACTGGTCCCAAATCTGCTGGCACGTCACACTGCCCATGATCATTGCGTCCAAAGCAGACGAGCTGACCATCTGTTCGCACTGCACAAGTATTATAAGCGCCCGCTGCGACTGCCAAAACTGGTCCCAAATCTGCTGGAACGTCACACTGCCCATAATCATTGTTTCCAAAGCAGACGAGCTGACCATCTGTTCGCACTGCACAAGTATTAAGAGTGCCCGCTGCGATTTCCAAAACTGGTCCCAAATCTGCTGGGACGTCACACTGCCCATTATCATTGCTTCCCCAGCAGACGAGGTGACCATCTGGTCGCGTTGCACAAGCATGAAAAGCGCTCGCTGCGACTGCCAAAACTGTTCCTAAATGGACGTCACACTGCCCATATTGGCAGACGAGCTGACCATCCATTCGCACCGCACAAATATGAAAACCGCCCGCTGCGACCGTCAAAACTGGTCCCAAATCTGCTGGGACGTCACACTGCCCGTTATCATTGGTTCCAAAGCAGACGAGCTGACCATCTGTTCGCACTGCCCAAGTATTATCAGTGCCCGCTGCGACTGCCAAAACTGGTCCCAAACCTGCTGGGACGTCACACTGCCCATGATCATTGCGTCCAAAGCAGACGAGCTGACCATCCGTTCGCACTGCACACATATGACAATTGCCCGCTGCGACTGCCAAAACTGGTCCCGAATCTGCTGGGACGTCGCGCTGCCCATAACCATTGGCTCCAAAGCAGACGAGCTGACCATCTGCTGGCATTGCACAATTATGCAAACCGGGTGAGATTGCTGAAACTGGCAAGCCACGCTGCGCTTGTCCGCTGAATACAGTGTTCCGCACTACACAACTGTTGGAAGTTCGAACATCTCCGGAACGTGGTGAGAATGCGCAAGTCCGAGTCCGTCTGTTCATTTTGCTTGGCCAGGCGAAACGTGACTGACCCTGTGTGCGAACCAACCAGGAGCCAGGACGGACCGCAAGAAAAGATTGGAATAGCGCCGTTTGTGCCCCAAAGAACAAGGCAAATGCCAGGCCAGCCTTCATGGCCATTGAGAAATGGATGCAGGAAGAAATGGTCCAGTGAGGGGATTTGGACCAGGCTATGCTGCAAGTATCGTTCTAGTCGGTTTGACCTTATTCCTAAACCTTATTCCCATTTTAGTTATTTTATTAGAGAACACCATTTCCATTTTCAAGGGTTAGGGATTTCGGGTTGGGAATATGGTTTTTCTATGGGGGAGTATTGGTATATGAGGTTGAGGTTGGGATTTTTGTATGTGGTGGTGTATGGGTCTTCCAATGGTTCTATATTGTGGGTCTTACTATGGGTATTTTGGTGAGGTTAGGGTTGAGGTATAGGTTGTTATGGTTTGGGTGCTAAGGGGTGGTGCATGATTAGAAAATGGAAATGGTCATTGCTAACTCATTTAGGCCTCACTCCGGGGGGCTTGCCTTAAGAACCCAGAACCTTTTTTTCTAAATGATTTTTGTAAGTTGCCCAAGAATCCTAGAAGGAGTTTTACAGTAGCAACTCACAAAAAAAGTAGGCTTGGGGTTCTGAAGGTATGGGGTTTAGGGTGCAGCAGCCATTTCAACAAAAACATCCCCCACCCCTTTTTAGGCACGGACTGAGGCTGCCGGCAACACCTGAAAGCAGCCCTAAACCCTAAACCCTACACCCTAAACGGATCCTGGTACTTCGCGTCGCTGGAAGCGCAGCGCTTGGCCACGGTCTCTTGGAACTTCCTTTGAAGCTCAAGGGTTGGGGCGTTTAGGGTTTAGGGCCCCACCTTTTGTCTTCACAGTAAGGTTAGGGCTTACGTTGAAAGCTCAGGGTTGAATATAGGTACTAGGGTATTCTTGGAGGTTCATGGTACCTTACTAACGAATTACTTATAACTGTACCTATAAGTACATTAGGGCACTTAAGGGGCTTATAAGTTGGTTATAAGTACAGTTATAATTGAGTAGGGTATAGGGTTGTTTGTTTCGCTTGAGGGCATGAACGGGATGTGGGTCAAGTACCTTGCACTAGACCCAAGAATAACCTAGAAAAGGGTGCCCTTGTTGGTTTCAAAGGGGCTTCCAGGGGAAGCTAAACCGCTGCCTACAAAAAGGAGTAAGGGCCTACTCTGGGTCCTAGTCCAGCAAGCTCCTTTCTCTCCAAGGTGCACATCTTCCCCCAGCGAGCCCGTTGTAGCCTTGATGTCCTCCGAATGTGTGTTCCTACAGACAGGCGCTCACCTCAACTCACTTACTTTGCTGCCTTGTGCAAAAGTTTCATCTTTGCGTAGAAGTTCCTTCTAAGCAAACTCGTAACACAGGAGCAGGGGCTGAAGGTCAACTACTGAACTACCCCCCGAGCACCTCAGATTAGGAACTGCTAACCCCTACTTTGGAGTAGACCCTGGAAAAATATGTGTTTTAAGGTACAAGTAGCTATAATAGGAACCCGGAACCACAAAAACGTATTAAAGTCTAGTACTTCAAAACCCAGCTTTAAAAAGTGGTGCAAGAGCAAGTAGCCGCCATCTTCTGGAAATTAAGTCAGCTTCAGACTTCGCGCCTGACCCCTCCTGGAACCCAAAACCCAAAACCCTAAACCCTAAACCCTAAATTCGAAACCCTAAACCCTAAACCCTAAACCCTAAACCTCCACAGCTGAAGGGATCGTGGACTCCCCGGGAGGCCATGGCGTCCTTCTTCGTCGCCTCGAGCGAACTCTTGGAGTCGGCTTTCTCCTGTCGGGAGTTGCGGAGTTCATTCTAGGGTCCTTGAGGGAGGGTTTAGGGTTTAGGGTTTATGGTTGAGGGTTCGTGGGGTTTAGGAACCTCGGGAACCATAGGGAAGCTAAGGGAGCCCTAGGGAGTATTGGAGGGTTTTAGGGTTTAGGGTTTAGGGTTTAGGGAGCATTCAAGGAACCTTGGGGTTGAATCCCCCCCCTTGGACCCCCCCTCCCTTTAAGGACCCTACAAGTTACTACATTCAGGGCTCGGTGTTGAGGATTTGGGTTTCGGTTGCCTCCCGCCTAGCTGAACGAAAGTCCACTTGGCGGGGCGCATGTCGTTATTAGGTTTGGAGTTTAGGGTTGCTTTCTAAGGGTTTCCTGAGGGCTTTGTTGATAGCTTGCTTAAGGGTATCTATGGTTTTCGGAGGGTTTGTACAACAATTGAGGGAAAGTGACAGTTGTTTGCAGGGCTTGTAGTGATTTGTGAGGATTTGAGTTTTTGTTTCTGGGATTTAGGCAGTTGCTGTTCCAGAGTTCTCCTCGAAGGCTTTCGCGGTTCTAGGCTTCTTCGTGCTCTTGAGGTATCCAGGGCTTCAAACCAGTCAGCCGGGTTTAGGGATGGAATCAGAGTATGATTGGGCATGCAGGCACCCGGTTCCTGACATTCCTACCTTTCTTTCGTTTAGGGTTTGCAAGGCTTTCCCTGCCAAATCCCAAGCCTCCCTATCCCTGCGCTGCTCAGCACGCGACCAGGCAAGGGATTCACGGGTCAAGCGAGGAACATCTACAAGAATTGCATCACACATCAATCTGGACTGACTATGGTTTTTAGTGCAAGCGTAAGTTTAAAGGGTTTAGGGTTTCGGGTTTATGCCCCCTCCACCCTTTCATCAGTCACCGAACTATGTTGCCATGATTTCCAGAACTGTATGATCTATCTTCGTGGTCATAGTACGTGTGCCCTTAGGTTCAGGGCGAGGGCTAGAGTTTTTGGGTGATAGAGAGGCTACGGAGGGTCCCCCAAATTATCCGCGCAGTTCTGAGGGCCATCAGTTGTGCAAAACATATGGGTTCCCCCACTATCCCCCCTCTATACTACCCCCCGAGGTGCCCCCACAATCAAGGCGATTTAGGGAGACTTACTTGCATTTGGCTATTCAAGGGGGAACCTAGCGGGAGGGGGCAGTAGGCAACCCATGCAGAATCACCCTCGACCCTAAACCCCGAACCCTAAACCCCGAACCCTAAACCCTGAACCCTAAACCCTAGACCCCACACCCTAAACCCTAAAGCCCTAAGCCCTAAACCCTAAACCCTATAGCGGGGGGGCAGTAGGGGAACCCCATGATGTCAGTCCTCTGTCTTGGCAAGGATCTGCTGCTCGAGGACTTTGCTCTCGGTCGCCTTTGCGGCCATCAGGGCTTCGAAGGACTTCCTCGGCAACACTGTGCGTGCCCACCCCGCCACTTATAGGATCTTATAGGGCTTATAGGGCTTAGGGCTTAGGGCTTAGGCTTTAGGGTTTAGGGTTTAGGGTTAGGGATTAAAGGGGACGTTGAGGATTTAGGGCCTTTGGAGGGTATGGCAGCAATGCTAAGGTTCGCTTGGGCTCCACGAAAACATCCGGGTCTACTGGTCTACCGCCACCGTCTGTGCCTCCGGGCGGGTCTTGAAAACCAATATTTGATTCAGAAACGCCCAACACAAAGACACTCTTCCTTAAAAGAGCGAAAAGGGCTTCTTGTTCTGTATTTTTTGGGGGGGTTCTGACGCAAATAGTACATAAGGGCATCAATTCAAAGCTACTAAGTTTGCAGTTTCGAGTTTGGGGTTCAGCGAGTTTTGGGGTGTCAGGTCTCGGAGCAAGAGCGACTTCAACGTGGTGTGCCTCCATGGTGCAATTAGCAAGCACACCCCTAGACTGGTCTTTAGTCTAGACCCAGAGTAACCTAGAAATAACAAGTGCCCTAAACCCTAAACCCTAAACCCTAAACCCTAAACCCTAAACCCTAAACCCTAAACCCTAAACCCTAAACCCTAAACCCTAAACCCTAAACCGTACCCTCTTCGGTCTCGGCCCGAGGGAAAAAAAAGGGAGAAAGGGTCCACCCCAAAAATTTCCTCCAGGTGTCTGGTTCGTTGCCTCCTCGCTCTGCTCCTTCCTTGTTAAGGAGTTCAGGGTTTAGGGCTTAAGGTTAAGGAGTTTCGAAGCAACAGGCGATGTTAATATGTAACAGGAGGGCTTACGGGTGTGTGTCCCTCCTTGGAGGTTCATGGTACTTAGGAACTAATTATAACTGTACTTATAACCTACTTTTAAGCCCCCTAAGTGCCCCAATATGGTTATAAGTACAGCTATAAGTACAGTTATCATGGGATACTAAGTGCCATGGACCAAGTCAACCCTGCTACATTCGGGCTTCTTGATCAGATCTTTGAAGTATGGCCCCCTCTTTGTGCGCGCTGGCCGTATTCTGGCAGGGCAGGGAGCTTTGTGTGTAACCCTAAAACCTAAACCCTAAACCCTAAACCCTAAACCCTAAACCCTGAACCCTAAACCCTAAGCCCTAAACCCTAAACGCTAAACCCTAAACCTCCCAGCCCACAGGCTCCAAGAACTGCGCCCCGCGTTAATGCCACGGCTCCCGGCTCCTACGCTACGAATTGCTTAAGAACCCCCAAGAAACAAAAAGGGTTTAGGGTTTAGGGTTTGGGGTTTGGGGTTTAGGGTTTATTCATTCTTTTGGGGTTCTTCAGCATATACTGGTAAGGGGAACCCTAAGAAACGGGATTCAAACTGTGAGGAAGCGCAATAAGCACCACCATCGTACGATCTTTGCATACACACGCGCACACACACACACACACATATATATATATATACATATATGTATATGTATATATATATATATATATGTGTGTGTGTGTGTGTGTGTGTGTGCGTGTACATGTGCGTGTGGTTTGTAAAAGTACGTGTTGCAAGTATTCTTACAACTGTAGAAGGCCGCAACACAACCAGGCACGAACGAGAACTTGGAAGGTTCATACCTTACATACATAGTTACATGATATAGACCATAGACACATATGTTGACCCTGTGCAGTATTGCGGTACGTAGGGCTTCCATGAAGGGAAGATTTTATTTGTCTCCCTGTGGATGTAATGATTGACCTTCTGGTACCCAAAGCAGGTTAAACGGTTACTTCCTCGACTACACAGGACTCTGTACATTCCAGAGTAGTAGCAGCGTTTGGCTGGATATGACGTCTGCGCTTGGGAATTTAGGGCGTAGCATCTCAGATTTTGCTGACAGCCTTTTTGGCAGGCTGCCTTTAAATATGTGAGATTCGGAACAAGGCGCGTTCGGAGCTTTAGGATTTAGTGACAGTGTAATTTCTACGCCCCAAAACCGTCGTTGGTACCAGGACATGTCAAAAGAACCGACTGTCCCAGCAACCCAAATTCATGCCGGCGCCCTGAATCCCAAAGAAATGTGTCAAAGCAAGAACAGCCGAGAGGCTGCAGATCTTGCACAAAGTCGTCGGCAATTGCCTGCTTCCAAGAAGCCTAAACCCTAGACCCGAAACCCTAAACCCCAAACCCCAAACCCTATATAAACCCTAAACCCTAAACCCTAAACCCTAAACCCTAAACCCTAAACCCTAAACCCTAAACCCTAAACCCTATAAACCCTAAACTGGGATCCTGAAAGAGCAGTCCTCAGCCCTAGACCCTCGCGGTCCCAAACCGGCAACCTTTGTTGTAAGGAGACCGCAGCCTAATGATGGGTTTAGGGTTTAGGGTTTAGGGTTTAGGGTTTAGGGTTGAAGGGTTGAAGGGTTGAAGGGTTGAAGGTTGAAGGTTTAGGATTTCGGGTTTAGGGTTTCGGGCTCAACCCTAGCCCTAAGGGTCCATGTACCTAAATAGCCCATACTTGCGCCTTAAAGTACTTCCTGCATAGGGACTTTGGAGCCCAAGTATAGAACGAGTTGCATGGAACCCTAAACCCTGAACCCTGAGCCCAGTAATAAGGTACATGGACCTCAGTAATAAGGTACTTGGACACTCGTAGACACTTCAGGTAAAACCTACGCCCTCCACTTGAAGGACGGGCCACTAGGCCTTCAAGAACCCATAATCAACACAGGAAAGGTCCTTTGAAGGGATTGTTATCTCAGCAATATTGAACCTACCCCTTGGGCATAACCTTAAAAGAAATAGATGGGTACTTGGGGTATGTTGAATTATTCTTAGAGTTTAAGTGGAAAGCCCTAAGCCGTCAAATTTGGGGACCTGCATGATGCCGACGATTTGGCTCGAAGAGCCAGTTGGTGCGGCGCGCTGGAGGAACCTGACGGTTGCAGGGTCTGGGGAGAGACGTCAAGACGCCTTGTTTCAGGGTTCGGGCCTAAACCCTAAACCCTAAACCTTATAAGCCCTGAGCCCTAAGCCCTAAACCATAAACCCTACCTTCTTCGTACTTCTACTGCCAACCAGCGCCCAACCCAAGTTCAACTCACAGTCTACCACAAGCTGATGAATTCGGGGAGCGCGTTGCCGCGCACGAAGCGCGTGGGCTCCTTCAGAAAGTCATCCAGGAGCATACCTTCGTCTATTCTAGGGTTCCAAGTATGGGCCCTATACAAGGGCCCATACTTCGGATCCCTATAAACATAATAAGGACCATACTAAGGGCCCGTGGTTCCAACCTTCGTCTATCGAGCGTTTTCCTGGCTTAGTGCTGATAACCCAGAAAAGCCAAATAAGCTGGATCTAGGATGTGGGGATGTTTTATCCCATTTTCTGAGGGGGTATTGGGCTCTCTGGATATTTTCACGCTGAGGCGCTAGCAACAGTTGTTTGGTGGATTGTTCGCCATGGCCGTTATGTCCGGGTTTCAAGCCGTGAAATTGACCGACCCTAAGGGTCCCTGAACCTATATAGCATATACTTGGGCCTTAAAGGGGTTCCCCTATAGTAGCTTTAGGGCCCAAGTATATACTATGAAGGTACATGGACCCTTAGGGCGAGCCTGATAGTGTTACAGCGGCACACCGCTTTGCTAAGCTAAACAGCTCGTCCTACTTGTCCAGGTTCTCAGAAGAACTACTTTGAGTCACAAAAGAGGTGTCGTAGCACGATTTACGGTATCTCCCTTAGATAGCCAGAAACCCTAAACCCTAAACCCTAAACCCTAAACCCTAAACCCTAAACCTCAATTAAGGGGTATTGGGCTCTCGGGGTTTGTTTGCGGTGACCATGGCAGAAAGAGAGTCGGTCAGCGCCAGACATCTTGGACAGGGCGAGAGAGCCTTTCCGAAGTGGGATTTAGGTTTAGGTTTCGAGGGTTTTTAGGGTTTAGGGTTTTCGGGATTAGAGTTTTCGGGTTTCAGGGTTTCAAGGTTTTGGGGTTTGAGGGTTTGGGGTTGAGGGTCTGTGGTGGAGGGTTCTCATGCACTCCCTCAGCCCTTAAACCTAGAGGCCCTATATAGAGTCTTGAGTCTGTTCGAAACTCCCATCCCAGGCTCCCAGCTAAGATTTGGTCAAGAAGCCCCACAACCCAAAAAACAAACACAACTAGCAGGGTAATTCGCATCATGAACTATACATGCATGTGTGAAGTATATACATATATATATATATATCTCTATATATGTATATATATGTGTGTGTAGATATTATATAAACACATCCATATGCATATGTACATACATGTACATATATAGGGGAGTCTTTAAGCTGATCTTTGCCAAGTGGATCGAAGACCCCAGAAGCCGAGACTTGCAAAAGCTAGAAGCCCGTGGGCAGCGGGCTTTTGGTGACTAGGGTCCAAAGGTTTCGGGTTGAGGGTTTAGGGTTTAAGAGGGTGTAGGGTTTAGGGTTTAGGGTTTAGGGTTCAAGGTGTAGGGTTTAGGGTTCAAGGTTTAGGGTTCAGGGTTCAGGGTTTAGGGTTCAAGGTTTCGGGGTGAGGGCTTAGGGTTTTGGGCGAGCCTGTCCTCAAAAAAGAGGCAGGGTTGAGGGTTTTAGGGTTTAGGGTTTAGGGTGGGGGGTTAGGGTTTAGGGTTTAGGATTAGGATTAGCTGAGTTGTTCGTCCAAGGTCCGGAAAATGTCCTTGTGAGCGAGTCCAAGCGCAAAGCAAGAAGGCAAGTTGTAAATATCCCAGGTGCCACTCAGACTAGAAACATCACTACATGGGATGCTACTCTACAACCCCAACCCCCACCGTCCCCTTCAAAAGAATTATATGAAACCAACTAACCCCTCAACCATAAACCTAAACCCTATAGTACCCAATCCAGAGCAGTGCTAACATCTGAGACACCACAACCTCAAGTGCACGACTTTTTTACGGACATATACATATTAATATATGCATGTCTCTCTCTCTCTCTCTCTCCCTCTCCTTTTAATTCAGAATAGGGATCCCTGACTTTAGGGTACAGTGCGCTGCGTAGGTATTGAGCATTCTGTGTACCTGATCGTTCTGGGTTTCGGGTCTAGACCTTCAGTTAGTAAGGCTCATGGGGTTTAGAGTCCCTAAACCCTAAACCCTAAACCCTAAACCCTTTAGAGATGTTGGCCCTGCGGCTGGTGCTCTTTGGCAGGGGCTGAGGCAATATTCCATATGGCGAGTTCTGTACATGATGGTCCCCTTTGGGGTTCTTGTTAAAGGGCGCCCCTATTCCTAAGGGTATCCAAAAAAGGACCCTAATTTAGAGAACTCACCACATAGCCACGGGGCATTTTGGGCTCTTAGGTTGGGATGTTCCTCCATAACATTCCTTAATCAGGATTATAATACCACCCACCCACCCCCCCCCCCCTCCTCTATCATCCCAATTCAGGATTGTGAATACAAGGGGGAACATTCCAATCTGAGGGTTTTGATTTCGAAGTCCCAGCCCTGGGGCCAAGCACTAAACCCTAAACCCTAAACCCCCAGCTGCGTCTTGCCTTGACGCTGGAGGGCCTTCTGTACGCCCGCGGCCAGGCGCGCGAGGCTGTCCGTCGTCTGGACCAGGGAGGAATAGGTGCTCTGCCTCGGCAGTTGCTACTTATTGCGCTTAAGAACCCAAAGCATGAAACATATTCTTCCTAACAAGGGCAATATTTGAATGATTAAATTTCTCATCTTGGGGGGGTTCATAAGCAAATAGTAGGTGGGCACGCTGGGCAGGCGTCAGGGTTGTGTCTGGCTCCCAAAATTCCAGCATATAGCCTCCTCGCATATGTCCAAAAAGTGAAAGAACAAATCTTCCTTATAAGGCCAACCTATGAAGTATTCTTCTTTGTTTTTGGGGGGGCACTTCAGCAAATAGTAGTACAGGGCGCATGGAGGTGTTTAGGGCATCTTAAACCCTGAGGGTCCATTTACCCATGTAGTATATACTTGGGCCCCAAGCTACTTTGTAGGAACCCCTCTAAGGCCCAAGTATATACTGTATACGTACATGGGCCCTTTGGGAAAGTGAACTTGTGGGGTTATGGTTTGCCAACTTTAGCCCTACTATTTGCTGAAGACACACTCAAGAATTGCAAAATGTTCTTCCTGACGCGGGGCAAGAAAGGGACTGTTCTTCTAAAAGAATGGGGGGCCAAAACCCTAAACCCTAAACCCTAAACCCTAAACCCTGAACCCTGAACCCTGAACCCTGAACCCTGAACCCTGAACCCTAAACCCTAAACCCTAAACCCTACCCCGATCCCGAGTCTTCAGCCCGGGAATGTGGTCCTCAAGGCTCCTTACTTCGTCCCTTAATTCGGTGCTGAATACTTCTAGCTCCCGGTTTTTGGAAACCTCACGTTGAAGTGGATAGTTCAAGAGAATCCGACAATTGGCACGCGAAACCAAAACCTTGAACCCCTAAACCCCTAAACTCGTGTGAAGCTGGACTTGCTGACTGCTAGACATTCTTTGAGGCCCTAAACCCTAGACCCTAGCCCCTAGACCCCAAACCCTAAACCCTAAACCCTACACCCTCAGCAGGGAACCACCAAAGCAAGATCCACCATGCCCCAGGATGCCCCCAAGGGGCATCTCCGAGGAGGCACTGGCATTCAGGGCCTAAGCCGTGGTTGGGTTTAGGGTTTAGGGTTTAGGGTTTAGGGTTTAGGGTTTAGGGTTTAGGGTTTAGGGTTTAGGGTTTAGGGTTTAGGGTTTAGGGTTTAGGGTTTAGGGTTTAGGGTGTAGGGTTTGAGGTTTGAGGTTTGAAGGGTTTAGGGTTTGAAGGGTTTAGGGGGTTTAGGCGGTTTAGGGGGTTTAGGGGGTTTAGGGGGTTTAGGGGGTTTAGGGTTTGCAGGGTTTAGGTTTGGTTTCAAGGGACTAAAGGAGGGACCCTGCAGCGGGTGCTGCAATGGTAGGGGCGTATCGGGCTCAACAGGGTCTCCACACTTCAGTGCACCAAGAGCTCCACGCTCTCACACCTTTTCCAACGAGCACGCAAGCTCGGTCCGATGGCTCAGTGGCAAAGTCAGGTAGCTACGAGGGGCCCCTCAAGCCACTGACAGCATATGGAGATGGGGTATGCATCTGATTGAAGCTATACATGTTGCACCACCCCAAAAAGGAGTCAGATGCAGACAGCCAGTGATCACTCGGGTCCCCAAACAAATGCTTGTCTACAGCATCTACAGCACTCTTACCTATCTTCTTCCCTTTCTTGGCGGCTGTGAAGTCGGGGTCGAACTTGATGCTCCACACACCAGTCTTCAAGAACTTGAGAAGGCCGATGCGGCTGTCCATTCTTTTCTTTGTCAAGGCATCAGCGAGGTCGTAGTCCGATGCCAGCCAACGAAGTTCACACCCAGCTCTGCTTAGGTTGTCCCGAAGCTGGAACGCCTGCAATGCCGAGCGCATGTTGCTCAGCCCAAGCAACGGCGACTCATTCAGCTCCACCGCGTCGTAACCTCCTCGGGAGTCCGTGCATAACACTCCCTTCACCTTCAGGACTTGCTTCTCCGTGAGCTCCACCAAATCGCGACGAAGTTCACGGCGATGTTGTAGTCCTCCGGCCCCATGAAGCTCCGACCATAACAGTCTCGTCCGGAAGTTATGATCTTCCGCCTCCAAGATCGACTGTACCTCGGCGTCGTTCGATCCAATCGCCTTCCTTTTCAGCTTCCAACTGCGCCATGCCAGCAGTGACATCTCGCACACCTGGCCACTCAGACATTCAGGTCCTGCAGCCAACGTCACTAAGCCACCGGTTGAATCACCCTTCGGCCGGTTGTTGTGCGCCTGGTCGCCCATGGAGATGAAGACTACCTCCGTCCAGTGCTTGGCCTGGGGAAATTTCTTGAACTCCAGCTTTACTGGATTCTGTCTGACTTCTCCTACCATCATCTGTATCTCCCGCGCGGTCTCCAAGGTTCCGGACGTCACCACTTCTGTGAGAAGAAGGTTGCAGCGGGCTGTTAGCTGAGGTTGGGTTTGTATGGCCACCCACTGGAGTGCTCCCAGCGTGGTTCGGCAGGCCTCCACTTCTCGTCGTTCTAGAGGACCATTTTGTCGAAGACGATCAGGCTCAATCTCGATGTCCTGAATCGATTCGATGTAATACGACTGATCCACCACGATCTTGTTGAAGCCATTCTTGTCCTTGACCGTCGTTACATCAGTTCCAGCATGGCGGTAGGAGTTCTTCTTTGTCATTCCCCACTTGTAGGCATTGTTGATCTTCTCTTTGATTTCACACCACTCGGCCGAAGTTCCATCGCCAATTCGATGAAAATCATCCACATGACCACCCATACTGCCAATCACTTTCGGGTGGTCCTCATCCATGTCGGTCTTTGACAACCACACCCACAAGCATCGCTCTCCAAGTACCGGTTGCGCTCCAAGCTCTGTCAATCGCTTATGCAGAGCTAGCCACAGTCCACGAGGTGCCGTCGTGCTGCCGTAGATGTTCCGAAGGATTCTCATAATCCCTTCCGCACCAACATCTAGTGCTTGACGAAGCTCTTCCACTCCTGTCGTCCACAGCTCCTGATCTGCTTCTGTGGGTTGCGTCTGCAGAAAGGCTGTAGCCAAGTCCAGCCCTTCAAGTTCCCACTGATGGTGCGCCGCCATGGTGTACAGGAGATTGCGACCAAGACTCGACTGCACAGGGCTCGCAGTCTTGAAGGAAGGATCCAGCAGGCTTGGATGCTGGAACCCTAGTAGTACGATGCGAGCTTTGGCCTTTCGAGCGCCATCCTTCGTGTGCAACGTCGCCGGGTTCTTCTGGGAATCATCAAGGGCCTCCTGTCGGTCCTCAGGTGGCACCAGTTTCCATGTCAACACCCAGCGCGCCTTGACGATGCGACTGCTTTCGTAGGCCTTCTTGATCTCCTCATCATCCAAGCACTTCCTCACGGCCTCATTCTTCAAGAACGAATCCACCTCCTTTGCCTTTGCCCTCGAGAACAACGGTCGCTCATGTTCGGGTAGACGGCTGATGTTCACCTCGCAGTCCCTCATTTTCTTCACCATGAAGGCCACCGGGTTCCTTTCCATCATTTTCTTCTGTCGATTGCTCATGTGGTTCTCCAGGTCGAACTCAATTCTGAGGAACTCCTCCACATTGTCCATCACATTGAAGAGGTCCATTTCCTCCTCTTGCTTCGCCTCCAGCATTAACTGTTCCACCCAATTTTCACCAGCTGCATCAGAACCGCCATTATCTGTTGTCGAACGAGCTCTCTTCGGTTCCGGCAGTTCGTAATCATTCACATCACCAACATGTTTCGTGGAACTTGAGGAAGTTGTCGTGGCTGTCGTTGTTGGTTCCTCATCTTCACCATCGTCCACCATCAGTCGCTCTCCCACGGGTTTCGCCACGTAGTCACCCGGTTGGAAGGTGACCTTTCGTCGGGCCCTGCGAATAGGCACGACCGTCGTCGTATCATCGGGTGCTTCCGGAAGTCGTGGCATCTCCACCTCATTCTCTCCGGGCTCCTCATCCACCACGTCATAGTACTCACGCTTCGGCACAATGTCCGCCAGGGATTTCCACATCGATGGATTCTCGGCCCCAGAGGTCTCATACTGAAACCGCTCCACCTCCGTCACTGGCCTCACCGAGTGCGCCGAGCATCGTAGGAGTTGATTTCCAACCAACACCCAGAGAATGTGTCGTTTTCCTCCAGATTCTTTTTGGTGAGGTAGTACTTCAGAGAACACCACACGTCCTGGCCCAATCCAGTGAGGTCTCCCGGACTTTTTGTAGCCGCCACGAGGTCCCTTGCATTGTTCTTGCGGCCAGACTCGTCTCCAGACTTTCACCAAATCCAGGGGCTCGTAGTTCCGCAATGGTTGCCGCACAGAGGTGTTGCCAAGCTTCGATAGAACTCGTCGGGCACGTGTCTGGCGTGCCACTTCTTCTGCTCGCTGGCGAGCCACAACAAGTTGGGCGAAGTCGATCTTGGGGTCCACATGTTGGAACGTGCGCACATCCTCATCGGTGATGTTGTAGTTCCTGCCATAGGCCCACTGGAACGCGGAGAAGCCAGCAGTGTACTCGGTGGAGTTCAGCGCTGCGACAGCCAAGTGGAGCGTCACCTCAAGATCCTGATCCATGTTCTCAAGGTAGATGGCTGAAGCTGTAGATTTGACATCTTGCACTGAGGCTTCCACTGCTCCATGCGCCCAGCTCTCTTTCTCGGCCGTGTAGTGCAGTCCCACATTGATGGCCGATGCAAAGGCATGCACTTGCTCCGAAACGTATGGCTTTGCCGAGTCCAGCACAAGGATTCGCGGTTTTGGAAAGGTCGACAGCCAGCGTTCAGACACGGCCTTGATCAAATCGCTGCCCGACTCGTTCTTCATCTGCAACAGGTCGTAGATCATGATGGGCTGTATCACTCTCAGTTTTGTAGCCAGGTCTACCATGAGGATGAACTTCACCTTCTTCTTGCTTCCAGGTGGCACCCACTCACCAGCATCGACACCCACAGCTTCCCAGGCTTCGTACTGCTGATGCGTCGCTGCCGGCGGTATCTGGCCCGAACTTGTACCTCCTTGTTTCAGACTGGCACATGCTGGACAGTGGTATCGCTTGGCCACATCAATCTTCCATTGAGGATGACCAGCTTCTTGCACGATACGTCCCAGGTTCTTGTTGGATGGGTGACCAGCGGCTTTGTGGAATTTGGCAACCTTGGCGGTCCATCGTTCGAGCTCTGCCTTGGGCACGGGTCCACCGTCGAGAAGCTTTGGTACTTCATCGCCACGAGATTCTGAGGGATCGCCGCGAGATTCTAGGGGATCGCCACGAGATTCTAGGGGATCGCCACGAGATTCTAGTGGATCGCCATGAGATTCTAGGGGATCGCCACGAGATTCTAGGGGATATAGATTTCCCCCAGTGAGTGGGAACGCCAGAGCTCGTAGATCCTTGAGTTCTTGTGCATCCCAATGTGGAATGGACCGCGTTGTGAAGGCCGAGATGGTGATCCGGTATCCAGTCCAAGCTTGCGTTGCATGCCATTGATCAAGATCAAAGATCACCACCTGATTCCTTGTGGAAAGCTCGTAGCCGCTCCAAAGCTGCCCACCATGCCATCTACTCACCTTCGGTACTCCAGGCGGGGCTTCACCATGTAGCCAAAGTTCCCCGCCGGCGTAGGCACCAACTCCAACCAGGATGTTCACGGACTCCTTGAGATTGTGTACATCACGATGGGGCTGAGTCCTTTGGTTGTAGCCGATCATGATGCTGGTCCAGGTCTGGTTCGGCACTCGGGATTTGAGGAAGGCATTCAGGTAGCGACATGTCCAGGGGTGTTGCCAGGTATGTTTGGTTATCCCATGCAGGCCACCATGTGAGTATGCCCCATACATCTGATAGGTGACTCCAGCCTGGCTCCCCCGCGATCTCATCGGTCCACGGCTTGTTTTGGCGCCCTGCATCAGAACCAGAATTGCCTCACATCGTTGGAACGAAAAATCCTGTTCGCCAAGCGCAATCTTTGCCTCAAACTCGGAATTCAGCTCAGCCACAGGTCTGGGGATGCGGCTGACAAGAACATCTTTCTCATCATCTTCATCAGAGTCCTGAACGCTTTCCCGGGAGAGC